CACTCTGCTCTTACTGGTGCAATGTGCAATCAATGAAGACTGGCTACCAGGCTGGTCCAATTTAGCCATGAAACCTCCCACACTAAAATGACAGGTGTTTCAGTTTCATTGTCCAACCCCTGTATTTTGTATTTACTAGATGAACATTGGATCAGGAGCATCACAAACTCCCAAGACAAACAGAAAATAAGAAGAATATTCATAATAAAGCTATAAAGGGTGGAGGAGGGGTAGGATTAAGACATATTCACTAACTAAGGTGGTGTGTATTTGTTTGAATGTTGTAGATTTATATATGTACAAAGACGTATAAATGATATATTCATATATTTATTTAATGGAGAAGAACTTGGACCAGGATAAATTGTTGAAGGTAGGAATGGTTTCCTTGAGGTGTAACCTGAGTTAAATGTGTATTTGCTGACATTAAAAGTCTTTGGTTTCCTCAGCAGATGAAGGCAGCTTTCTGCATCTTTAAGAACAGAGTCCACATGACTTGTAAACCACAGGTGAGAGTCATGCTCTGTTCCCAGATATTTAAGTATTTTCATTTAGGGCTATCAGAGTAAGGCGGGCTATACAGAAACGCAAGCCACACTTTTCAGAGTTTTTTTTGTTGAAGAATCTTGAATATATATTTTTTCTTCCACTTCATGCATTTGTACCTGTAACATAAAATCCCAACACGATACATTGACGACTATTTTAAAAAGTTAAGTGGCTATGAAAATGTTTGCATGGCGCTATGAATACACAATGAATATAGGGATATTTTATTTCACAATAATAAAACCCAAAAAGCAGAAGAGGATGTATCAACAAGGAGGTAGTTTTCTCGTATTTTCACAGAGATGTTCGAACGTTCTTATTTCTAAAGCAATTTAGAGTCACCGGAATACGTCTGCTTTATGGGTTGAAGGAAAAGGTTTGTGTCAGAAGTGGGATTCGAACCCACGCCTCCATTCGGAGACCAGAAGCCCCGTCGCTACGGAAGGAGTAGATCCTTGAGTCTGGCGCCTTAGACCACTCGGCCATCCTGACACCGTCGAAATAAAAGGGCCACCACCACATATTTAATTCTTTGCACCCCACCATTGCTATAATAGTTGTGTGGACGGATACCTGTTATGTATGTGCAAGATGATATACTTGGGTTTCATCTAAATGTAGCGCTCACAACACTATAGGTGCTTTCAATTTTAACGGTTGGTTATTTCTCTACGCATGCGTATTATGGAAGTCCAAGTCGTGCTGCATTGAAGCAACCAGCTCGAACGGAAATATTTTAAAGTACAGAACATCGCTTCTACACATAGGAGTGTAATTGTGGTTGCTTTATGTACTGTAGCTTAAAAACGTGCTACAGAGAGGATACATACCATGTTATCGCTAAAGGGGAAGATTATAGTGCTGCTTTAGAACTCCAAAAGGTGTTTTAACTACGCTACTTGAACGCCTCAGCTTCCGGTATATTTGCTTGAGACGGCCATATTGGACTTTTTCAAGGGTATCTGAAGACGGCAGGCCAGACAACATGTACCGGTTTGCAAAAGCTGCAGCTAACCTCGGTGGTAAGGATAATGTTTTCCTGAAGGGTTCAAGTCTTATTTATGTTATTAGAGCAGGGACCGATTCATTATCAGTCAGCAGGAGGAAATGATAAGCTTTTTGGTTGTTTGACCGACTCCGACATGCCTACTGTTCGCTAGCTAATGTTAGCATGTCCCAAAGAATCCTGATAGATTCATACATCATGTGTTTTTATGTTTCCTAATGCCTTGAATGATATATCGAGACAAATCCTGGGGTTTTCAGTGCTTCAAATACACAACTTATATTCTCAAACACCCTACGGTGTACTGAGCATTTCAACTTCGTGTAATCATGAAGAATTTACAGTAAATGAAAGTGTCAAGCTGTTAAGACAATAGGAGGCCAAATAAGGACAGAAAAGGTCGTAGTCCGTAGATGAAGTTTTCCAGACGTGTTACACTTAAGTGTAAAATATTTGATTTCAGATGTGGCTTTGCAGTTTGATAGGTCAACCTTTCACAAATAAAAAATTATTTTTTCCAAGGAATATAAACGAAATCCTTTGAGGGGAAAAAACTTTACCGTGACATTCACACCAAAACTCCCTTCTCATCTATTAAAAATCGATTTTAAAACTAAACCATTGATTTATTCTTGTTTTATTTGCAGTTGTGAGGTCACCTGTATGTGTAATTGCTATTCATTGCCTTTTGGGGGATTCTTTAGCCAGAAAATTATATGTTTGTTAGGTTACGATGTCTATAAAATCCTATTCTACTTGTGCAAAATTTGACACATATTTTGGCTTAACATCATTAAAAACTTCTACATACACATTGCACTCTCCCGACTCTCCCATGTTTGAAGGCAAATTAAATGTATGGAAACTTTGGATCATTTTATAATAAGTTAGCAATGATTGTAGTTTTATCATTAAATGAATGGTCTCAACTTAAATATGATGTATTAAATATTTTCTGTTACAAGAAATGAAGGGGTCTATGGACATTTTAGTGTCTAAATACATTTTCTGATTAAAAAAAAAAACAAAAAACAAACATAAATGTCCCCAACTTGTTCCTGACCAAAATGGCTATTCTTAACAATACTGGAAATATTGTTTTCTATAATAAAAAAAAAACAAAAAACCTTGAGCTTGAAAAGTTTTAACTTGGGTGGAAGGAATATTCTAAAGATTATCTGGTACATACTTCAACTACTGATGGCTCAGAAATCTAAAGCCTCATGTTTTAGTTTTATTGGGATTCATGTTCCATAAAAACCACAGCATTTAAATGGTTTATTTACCTAATTTATAAGACATAACGAATATTATCAGGGTTTTTTTTTTTTTTTTTTTTTACCGTACTGCTGTTTTTATGCAGGCCAGGCTGTTCGGCAGGTGAGGCACGGATCCACAGCCCCCCAGAACTTCCACTCCAAGTATGGCATGGGTGTGCTGGTCAGTGGAGCTGTCTTCTGCAGCACCGTGTGGGGATATGTAAGTCAGAACACTCTGCATTCATTATCAGAACAGATGCTCACATTTTGTAAACAAAGTATTCTTGTTTTAATGGAGTCTGTTAGAAAAATGTGATTCGTTTTTGTTTAAAGATGCTGCATTTTACCCAAAGGTTTTCTCTCAAAACAAGAAAAGCTGTTTTTATGTAATATATGGTGGGAAATATTTTAATGCTGTCAAAGTTTAGTTTTTCTCTGCCCTAATTGGCAGCAACTTTTTTTTTCCAGAACTGAGAAGATATTTGAGTTGAGTGCATTAATCTCTTTACAGATACTATATAAAGCAGAGTTGACTCACCAGGCTCCATATTATGAAAAAATGTAGCTTTCTCTTTGTAAAGAAACTTACTGAAAATGTTTTAACATGTTTAGACTGTTGTATTTTACCTTAAGATTGCATGAAACAGCATTTCCTCCTCCATATAAAATATTATGAATGAAGGTTACTCTTTCACAGTCATGCATTCTTTCAAAGCAACAGCTGTCAATGTCGTGTTCATGTATTCATGTTTCCTAGTGTATACGTGACCACACCAACGTTATCTGTTTAACACAACCTCAGTTGTTAATTATAACCGCAGCTTGAGCTTGTTTTTCCTCCTGTCAGGGTTCTTAAAAGGATGACATTTTTCTGTAGCAGTTTTGAGGTCTGGATAAATATGCAAAAAAAAAAACTCTTGTTTCCAGACTGTTTTATGTTCCATATTGTAAATAAAAGTGTTATTTAGAAAAGTGAGGTATAGTATTTTTGCATTGAATGTAAGTAAAGGATCTGTATAATGTCACTTTGTCATCAAGCCTTAAGTTTAACTTTTTGACTGTCATTGTTTTTGGTTTTGGACATGCTGGGAGCCAGATGCATGCTTATACCGTTTTACTGGTGTCATGTAAGGCCATGCCTTAGGAGATTATTATTTACTTTTATAAACTTTATGATCTTTATGAGCACAAACAGTTAATATACATTTGCAGCACATATATAGCCTTGGACATCAGCAGAGACCCTGAAGTTTGACTGGGAAATTAGAAAATTATCCTAATGAAATGCCCTCAATGCTCTTAAATATTAGGTACATCTATAACATGTGAAATGTATTCAAATCCTAGGTCTAAAAACTTAAAGCATTTGAAAACAACTGACTAAAAGTGAAAGATGGGAATCCTTTTCAGACTCTAGATCCAGTATGGTTGTAGCATTAGTTTAGTAACCTTTTTTTGTTTTTGTCATTGTGCAGGTACTGACTCAGACTGGAATTGTCTGGAATCTGTCCCCAGTCAATAGGATGTCGCCCAAACCATGGAGGGTGGCAGAGGAGTAAAGAGCCAACATGATGGACCTGGTTCCCAATCACAAAAACCTATAATTGTATAGATGGATAACCTTTATCTGTGTGTTCAGACAGTCAATTACTGCTTATTTCAACATCCTATTTGTCCAAATAAATTAATTCCACTAATCTGCTGTTTTGAAGGTTGTTTTCAGAAAAGAACAAAAACTGCCTGCTTAGATTAAAGACTACAAGAATATTTTCAACGTTCAGGAATAGTAATATTTATTCAATTTTTTTCCTTGGGACGCACAGTCCTGCAACCTTTAGGTGTCTCTCTGCCTGTGATGTTTAATGTCCATCTTCTCAAACACACCTGATTCAAATGATTGCATAATATAAAGCACAAGCCTGTTAATCAGCTGTCAAAATGATTAGGAAAACATACTGGAGTGAGGCTGGAAAACACGCAATATAGTACTTTTGGTAATACAGTATTTAAGGAATGTTTTAAATGTCGCCCTGCTTCAATCTACCAGAGTTTAGTAGCTGACTAACAAACGAGCATGCAGGACTGATATAAAAAAAACAATTTTACAGAGTTAGAACTAGATAAATGTTTTGGAAAAGAAAAAACATTTTTAAAGAATGTAGGAATATCGAGATAATTGCCTTCATGTGGTTGCGTAAGGGACAATCCCTATATTGTCTACTGTACGATCAGGGTTTATTTTTATTATTTTAAACAGAAATAAGTCTGAAGTTAGATGCAGAGGGTCTTTAGCACAGATAATGGAGACATATCTAAGCCTTTTAGTACAGCATTGTCTTTACAACTGTTTGATTTACCAGGTTTCTTACTTCTGAGAGGAGCTTTACAGTTTTTGCATTATGTTTTGTTATTAATGTTGAATATTTTATTTAAAATACTGCAGCTTAGGTCAGGTAAGAAAGGGTCGGCGCATGTTAGTTTGAAGGTGAACGTGTTTATTAGTAATTAATTGAAATGCTTAAAATATAAGAGGGTCTAATAGATTTGACTCACAGAAAACAAATTGCTTTACATTTTAAAGCTTTTATGCAAGATTTGCTCAGTACTAATGAGCCACAGTTTGAGTCACTGTAACAAAGCTGCATAATAGCATAGTAATTTGTTTATCAATTTTAGACCATACACACTGACAAATGTGACGATCTGCTGGTTCCGTCACCAGGAAAGACGAAGAATTCCGTCAGGAGACGTGCATCCATCTAATCCAATCAGGATACACCAATTCTAACCGTATTAGCCAATCAGATGCCGGAGGAGGGATTTGCCCCGCCCCCATGCTGTTCCTATGCTCTGCTCTAAGGTCACCGCTGACATTCGGTAGCTAACTCGTCAGCGGCCGAAGGAAGCGGAGGAAATCCAGTCAGGACAGCGGAAGACAGAACCACCTGAACCAGCCAACATGTCTCTTTCCAACAAACTCACACTGGACAAGGTGGACGTCAACGGCAAGCGGGTCATTATGAGGTGAGCAGTTTAATGTCGCCCGTAGCAGCGTTTACTCGGAACAGCAACTCGTCGTAAATGAGCCGTCAGTTAGCCAGTTTTCATCGGTTATCGTAGCGGACGTTGTCAGGTTGGTATATTACGACTCAAAAGTGATGGTTAACTGTATCTGACTCGGCTCAGACCAATGAGGAGAGGACCGGAAGTGATTTAGCTGGTTGTCA